ATTTGTTGTGTCTCCCAAAATGCGTAATAAACATGCTTTTAGTCCCGGTGTCCTCATATGAGGACATGTATGAAATCAACCTCCTGTTTCGTAACAGAAAGTCATATTTTGATTTGAAACCCCATAACATTTTCCTGAGATGTTGATTTATGACACACAGTTTAAAAATGAGTCAGATTTAAATTATAATTACAAAATATTATCTCACTGTCACTAAATTAATATCAGACATTTTTGAAGACCAAGGAGAGGGAGTGGTCATGGTGAAACATCCAAACATTTAGTATCTCTGAAAAGCCCTGAATGCCCTGAATGTAGGACATCCAGACGTAAAACTGTGGGATGAATAGTCTCACTAAAATATAATGTCCTCATAGTCCTCATATGGGACTCAGGAGGTTAATAAATGGTAAGTAAATATATGAGGAAATATAAGTACCTAAAACTTATCAAAATATATATTAATGTAAATATTTGTACATTTTTAAAAATATGTTTTGGCCATTTTTGGTATATTTTTTTATTTAAATAAATAAATACAATTTTCTCTTCTTCCTATTATGGGAAGATTTAGAAAAAGACACAAAGACATTATTAATATTTACCAGGTTCTCCTTTATCTCCTTTTGGTCCATCTTTACCAGCTGTGCCGCATGTTCCTATATCACCTTTAGATCACATAAACAGTTGTATTTTTGTATGTATCGTATGAAACACTTCTATTGCATGCAAGGAGGTCAAAATCCTTATGCCAAACCAAGCTTGAACTTTAACATCTAAATGTCAAATATTTCTGCAAACATCTTTTTTTTACAACATTGTTTAATTTGTGTACCTATCTGACCTCATAACTTAGCTCAAATGTGACTGATTAACTGGAGTCAGACATTTTACTTTCATTCTTACCTATATCTCCTTTATCACCTTTGGCCCCATCTCTGCCATCACGTCCTGGCATTCCATTGTGTCCCGGGTCTCCAGGGATCCCGGGGTGACCGTACACACAGCCAGTGTTTTTGTCAGAAACGCTCTGCTCTGCAGCATTGACCAATACAACTAGAAAAAGCATACAAATCTGTGTGGGAAAGAGCATGGTCCTCTCAAGCACTTCAGCAGCTGGAGTCCAAGAACAGTCTCTGTGTTTGAGGACAAAAACATTTGAAGAGTTTTTCAGACATGACATATTGCAAACCTGCTATTTCATTGGTCAGAAAGTCATTGTTTAGATTACTTATTTTACCCAAATACGTGAAACATCACCTGTGTCCTCTATTGAAATTCCATTTTGTATTTTAGCTTAGGTAATAATTAACCTGAAACATGCTATTGCCCAATCCATATTAGCATAGAGTTGTGCTAACAAAACCCATTTATATTCATTACATTGTGGAGTAAAGCTAATATTAAACTGAACAAACCCTCATGAAAGTCAGCCCGTCACTTCCTTGAAGGCTTTGGGATGTTATGTGTCCAGAGCATCTTGTGCTTTAATTTGCCGTTATTGATGTGGTTGCTTTAGAAATGTTACTGAACAGTCATAAAGTCAGTGTAAAGAGCATCATGCAATTCAGTGCTCAATGCATATTGTCCCATGTAGCTCTTTATGGGTGTTACTCTATCTTGATTAAATTTCCACTTCAGTGACACTGCAAATGCAATCCAACGCATCCCAAAGCTTGACCTATTGAATCCATTTGGCCTTAAGCTTTTGAAATATGTCATGTCTGCCTTCCTCCCCCCTTAAACATAAAGGTTTCAATTAGAGCTAAAAGGTTTCTATGGCCATTTAGGAGAAACTATAACAGAGCTTCAATGTGCCACACTAAGAGAAACGCCTTTGGAATATAGACATATGAAATTGTAGATTAAAATATTGTTATTTTACGTATTGCTAAATTAAATATATAAAAATAATTTAAGGCCATTTTAAACATGTAGGTTATTATATGTAGACTTGATTCCATGTCTTGCACAGACTCATCGTTTCGACTCATAAGACTTAAATAAATGAAAAAAGAAGTGTAATAATGGGAAGAATAATTGACAAGATTTTCATAATAATATATAATATTTCATAGGAATATTGAAATATAATTTCTTTCCCTATTAATTTGTTGTCTTCCAAAATGCGTAATAAACATGCTTTTAGTCCCGGTGTTTCGTAACAGAAAGTCATATTTTGATTGGAAACCCCATAACATTTTCCTGAGATGTTGATTTATGACACACAGTTTAAAAATGAGTCAGATTTAAATTATAATTACAAAATATTATCTCACTGTCACTAAATTAATATCAGACATTTTTGAAGACCAAGGAGAGGGAGTGGTCATGGTGAAACATCCAAACATTTAGTATCTCTGAAAAGCCCTGAATGTGCTCTCTACAGGACATCCAGACGTAAAACTGTGGGATGAATAGTCTCACTAAAATATAATGTCCTCATATGAGGATGCAGGGACTCAGGAGGTTAATAAATGGTAAGTAAATATATGAGGAAATATAAGTACCTAAAACTTATCAAAATATATATTAATGTAAATATTTGTACATTTTTAAAAATATGTTTTGGCCATTTTTGGTATATTTTTTTATTTAAATAAATAAATACAATTTTCTCTTCTTCCTATTATGGGAAGATTTAGAAAAAGACACAAAGACATTATTAATATTTACCAGGTTCTCCTTTATCTCCTTTTGGTCCATCTTTACCAGCTGTGCCGCATGTTCCTATATCACCTTTAGATCACATAAACAGTTGTATTTTTGTATGTATCGTATGAAACACTTCTATTGCATGCAAGGAGGTCAAAATCCTTATGCCAAACCAAGCTTGAACTTTAACATCTAAATGTCAAATATTTCTGCAAACATCTTTTTTTTACAACATTGTTTAATTTGTGTACCTATCTGACCTCATAACTTAGCTCAAATGTGACTGATTAACTGGAGTCAGACATTTTACTTTCATTCTTACCTATATCTCCTTTATCACCTTTGGCCCCATCTCTGCCATCACGTCCTGGCATTCCATTGTGTCCCGGGTCTCCAGGGATCCCGGGGTGACCGTACACACAGCCAGTGTTTTTGTCAGAAACGCTCTGCTCTGCAGCATTGACCAATACAACTAGAAAAAGCATACAAATCTGTGTGGGAAAGAGCATGGTCCTCTCAAGCACTTCAGCAGCTGGAGTCCAAGAACAGTCTCTGTGTTTGAGGACAAAAACATTTGAAGAGTTTTTCAGACATGACATATTGCAAACCTGCTATTTCATTGGTCAGAAAGTCATTGTTTAGATTACTTATTTTACCCAAATACGTGAAACATCACCTGTGTCCTCTATTGAAATTCCATTTTGTATTTTAGCTTAGGTAATAATTAACCTGAAACATGCTATTGCCCAATCCATATTAGCATAGAGTTGTGCTAACAAAACCCATTTATATTCATTACATTGTGGAGTAAAGCTAATATTAAACTGAACAAACCCTCATGAAAGTCAGCCCGTCACTTCCTTGAAGGCTTTGGGATGTTATGTGTCCAGAGCATCTTGTGCTTTAATTTGCCGTTATTGATGTGGTTGCTTTAGAAATGTTACTGAACAGTCATAAAGTCAGTGTAAAGAGCATCATGCAATTCAGTGCTCAATGCATATTGTCCCATGTAGCTCTTTATGGGTGTTACTCTATCTTGATTAAATTTCCACTTCAGTGACACTGCAAATGCAATCCAACGCATCCCAAAGCTTGACCTATTGAATCCATTTGGCCTTAAGCTTTTGAAATATGTCATGTCTGCCTTCCTCCCCCCTTAAACATAAAGGTTTCAATTAGAGCTAAAAGGTTTCTATGGCCATTTAGGAGAAACTATAACAGAGCTTCAATGTGCCACACTAAGAGAAACGCCTTTGGAATATAGACATATGAAATTGTAGATTAAAATATTGTTATTTTACGTATTGCTAAATTAAATATATAAAAATAATTTAAGGCCATTTTAAACATGTAGGTTATTATATGTAGACTTGATTCCATGTCTTGCACAGACTCATCGTTTCGACTCATAAGACTTAAATATTTTGTCAGGAGCAATATATTGTCATTTTGTGTTTTTGTATTTGATGAGGCAAATTACGTTTACTGTCACTTGGCGAAATTTCATTTCACAATCCAGTCACTTCAAAATGATTTCATGTGATAAAGTTCCCATGCAAATTTTGCTCGTATTCAAGTTGGTCAATCAAATTCTCCACCTTGACCATCAGAAAGCTGTCTGGTTTGAAAGAGACTTCTGTGTGAGCGGTGCTTCATTAATCACTACAATATTTTTCCACTAATGTGATCTCACCTTAACCAAGTTCCAATGCTTTAGCAACTAGATCAATATCCTGATAACCCATAATGTAACAACAAGAACTTTTTTAAAACTGTAAAGGACTATATAAGCAATTCAAGAACCTCAAGTATACTTAAAGGGGTCATATGATGCGATTTCAAGTTTTCCTTTCTCTTTGGAGTGTTACAAGCTGTTCGTGAATAGATAAGATCCCTAAAGTTGCAAAGACTAAAGTCTCAAACCCAAAGAGATATTTTTTTTTATAAAGGTTAAGACTGGTCCACCATGCCCTCCTAAAACGCCTCGTTTAAACACGCCCTCACATGTCTACGTCACGATGTGGGAAGATTTGCATAACGCCGCCCAAATGTTCACGCAAAGAAAGAAGGAGTAACTTTATTGTTGCTGCTGCTGCCGCCGCCATGTTGTGAAGACGCTGTGTTTTTCGTTGCGAAAGTGAAAATACTTTGTTTGGCCTTCCAAAAGAGGACACGACTAGAAATCAGTGGTTAAGTTGTATTTACAACACTATTCCAGAACAAACATCATATGACCCCTTTAAGAAACTCAAGTATACTTAACATTGTACAATATTCTTTAGGCTTAACTTCATGCCATGTTACATTTTATTTTCATAGAAACAAAAACACATTAACCAATCATTTTAAGGTACCAATTTATTAAACATTTACATCAAACATGGTCACCAAAACCAAGCTTATGAAACTGACATGGAATGTTCACACACAACAACGATGGACAACACAAATTAATATATTTCTACATTTATGACTCTTATTAATCTGCATACAGTACTTCTGGTTAGTGTGTGCATTGACGTCTTTTACTTTTTAATTTTTGCTATTAAAACAGCAAAAGAACTGATCACAATAACCCAGCAATAACAACAGGTGCAATACAGTATTTGCAAGGGCAAACGTTTGTCCTTTAATGTACATTCAAACACTGTGTAAACAAGTATACTGTTGCTGTAAGTTATTTGGTATATCAACACTGTTTGCTCATTGAGAATAAGGTAGTTGTTTTGACTTGCTTAGATAAACGATCACTTTGCATACATTTACAAATAAATAAATATATTTTTATCACAAGCTGAGCAAACGAAACTTAAAATAGATATGCCTAGCATGCTCTAATATCTTAAAACCTCTATGCTTCAGTTTCTGACACTACTAATACTGCTCCTCTTCATCAAATAGATGCACTATCAAGGAACACTGCTTGGTGAGGGCTGGGGTGAGAGGGTTTAAGGTCTTCTGGGTGTTGCTGGGCACTAGTATAGTTTTACATAATCTGCCGATGCATGCCGTAACCAGTCATGCCAGCCTGAGATGCCCCACGGTTACTGCCCATCTGTAAGCCAATCAGATTCTGACCCTGCCGCAACTGCTCCTCAGAAAACTCTCGCCGGTTGCCTTGAGATTTCCTGTCACACAAGATCAAAAAGAGCTCACATGGCACTGAGACACAACAAAGTCTATTCACAAGTCCAACCAGACAGGACTTAACGCCCCGCTATGAATTAGTCTGGCGGTAATCTTCACAGGAATTGTCTTGCTCACCTGTGAAACCAGTCCTGGTTACCTCGGTAAAGTCCATCGTCTTTTGTGAGAGCAACGCTACCCATGGCCATTAGTGTTCTCTGGACGGCTGCCATGTCTTTTCCTTTAACCAAGGGAACCAACAAGCACTGAAGTGACTTTGGCTACACACCAAGAATGCAACTTGCAATGCTTTCTGTAGTATGCAAGGCCTGGCTGATTAAAAGCAATCTTTCAGAACAATTCAAACTCCTATATATTAATTTTCTACAGCGGTTTGTTTTTACAAGCACCATGCTAATTCCGAAGTCCATGAAGTGCTGTTCCAGAACTTATAAAAGCAAATTTTACTGTACCTTCCCACAAGTCCACTGTCTGAAAAATGTCTGTGGTTATCACTCCGTAAGCTTCAGCTGCCTGCAGGAACTGGGAGATCTTTTCCATCTGCTTAAAGGCCATCTGAGTCTCTGGGATCTTTTTAATAGGCTCCTTACCACGCGGATACAAACTGTTAATGAGTCTACAGAGGATCTGCAGACGTGGACGAATGGGGGAGATAATGATAAATAAAAAATGAATGGAATCATGTTGGTGTGGAATTGTCAAACTGGTATTTACTCACAGTGCCATCCATTAGCCAGATCTGAAAGTTTTGCTTCCCCGGCTGTGGTTTCTCTATATTTCCTCCACACTGAGCGACAATCCAGTCCACCAGTCGAGACTCCAGCTCTGGGTCATACTTCTGCTCGATCTTCTCCTGCACCTCACGGCTCAGTCCATAACTGGGTCCTCGGTTTGCCATGGTCAAGTTTAATAAGTCTAGGTCTTTACCCAGTATATCTAAAAACAACAACCAACAACAGCAACAACAAATTTACCCACTAGCTCAATCTGTACTACAAAGGGAAGAAAATATAAGGCTTTATAATTTTCCCTTTAGCTATTGTTCTTTTTTTTGGTTACAGTAGGCGAATTGTGTATAACATATTGTGAATATTAATTCAAACAATAATTAACGTATTGTAAATATGATTTTAATATTCCTGTATTATGATACAGACTAGCTACTGTATCATATATACATTTGTATATATGAACACATGGACTGACAAGGGGTAATATTGACCGGGGTGTGGTCCATGCTTCTGTTCCCATGCCTGACTTTAAAGAAAAAATACATGTCTAAAAATCTAAAGCTATTTCGAACATATAATAATAATAATCCATTGCAATCATTCAACTATTCTTTATAATCAAGTAGAGCGTGCAGACGCAAAAAGAAACTGCATGTGCATATTTAACCCAAATTAGTTTTAAACTACTGCATTCAAACAGTTATTGATAATGAATTAATTCTACTTGCGTTATCATTAAACAAATAATTTTTGTCAAGAATAAAGATTTACTTACTGCAAGCAGATGCGCGTGTCGTCCTCCTGTGCAGCGAGGTCAAATCCTTCCTGCGGTCAGTGCTCAGAGATGCTGGACTGAAACATCCATGCGGCGGGGGATGGGGCGTGGCTCCAGCGTACTGTCCGGTGCGCGGAATCACCCTATGGTGAGGCTTGGCTTATGAATATTAATTAGCTTACGTCGGTGGACGCTGGTGGAAAGTTACCAAGTAGCATCGCATCGGCGTGACTTAATTAACATTCATGAGCTGAGAATTTTCGTCGGGAATATCAAGAATGACACAAAATGGGCACTATGGAACAGAATCAGACTGCATTGCAATAAATATATATTATAACAAAATCTTAGTTTTAAAATAACGAGTTGTACCCAATAAAAGTATATATTTACACCTCCCTATAACGTTAAATCCGTTTTCGTAATGCCAGATTTAAGAAGTAAAATGTAAAACGGTTTAAAAACTGACAGAAAAAACCCCCCCAGGTCCTTTTGCTCTTGTCCTCTCAGTAATAAATAACCAAACCCATTTCCAATTAGATTAAGATGCATTACTAATGCATGCAAATTCTGCAGAGAAAAAAAAGTGAGTAGCACGTGATAAACAGGAAAAAAGTCATCTGCTAAAATAATTACTGAATTCTTTAAGCATGGCTTAAAGCTACTTTAGCTACTACTAAATAGTACACGTTTTTTTCTTAAGTAGACCTAAGCGAGTAAACTGAGGAATTTAAATCTTTAATTACATAATACGCAATAAACGACATACCCCTAAGATTGTATTAAATTACATAGTGTTTTATAATAGTTTAATAGTGGCTAAACAACATCAAAATATAAGGCAGCTTATATAATACTAGCAAGCTCTTCTATTGAGCAATTACTGTGGTTTAAATGACACCTAAATTATGTATTCACTTCTAGTCATGTTTTATTTTGTGTATACTGCTTGGTGCCATTTCAACAGTGTTGGGAAGGTTACTTTGGAAATGTAATAGGTTACAGATTACAAGTTACCCTACTTAAAATGTAATAAGTAGTGTAACTTTTCAATCGGTGCGTAAAACGTTCTTTTGAGTTCATTTTGACAAACTGATGACACTGAATTTGATGCACTGCCGTAATAATATTTTACAAGTTCGTCTGCTCCGGGATGTTTTTTTGTTGTTTTTTTTGCTGAGAGTTGATAACCTGCTTAGCTTTGGGTAAAACGCAGCTCTTGTCGTCACTGTCACTTTTTACCCAGCCGCCCAATCAATGGAGGAGTGGCGGGACAAATACTACACCGACCAATCATCCTACTTGTACAACAACTGAACAACAATAGAGAAGTTAATATTGCTGGTTACTGCATTTTTATATTCAGGCAACCAAAGCGTCTCTCAGCTAGAAAAACGCTGTGCCACCAAGGTGTTCTCCAGCACCGCCAGCTGGCCGTTTTAAGAAGAGCTCCTGACAGTTTTTCAGCTGGCTAAAAACGCTTTGGTGGACACACGTTATTGAATATTTATTGTTAGGCATATGGCCTATTAGTGTTTTTTGCATTTATGCAATATACTGGAGCCAAACCTGAGAAAGTAGACCAGAATATTCCACTGCGTTCCTGGACACGCAATTTACGTAGCTGTAATTCATAGGCGGGAATTATGCTAATTGTGAATGAGCGTGCACGAGCGCCCTATTTACGAATGATTGGAATTCATTAACATACACGTTTAACTATCAAATCTGATGTGTACGAAGTGTTTGTGAATTCGGAGGAGAGTTGTCGGGAAGGTCCGTTTTATGCGCAAATTACTCAGAATTTACTATATTTACGAATGTTTCATGAATGAGACCCATGGTCTTGTAAGCAATGCAGGTGTTTTGTAGTTTTGTGATGTAGAAGAAAGAATCTTAATTTTCTCCCATCATCAGAGCCACTGAGTACGCAGTGCATTAGTTTTGTTTTTAATGGTAATGCGCCACTGAATACACCCAAATTCGTTTATGTCTGCGCAAATAATTTTACTGCAAGCTGCTTTCTTAACGAGGGACAATTCAAGGCAGGCTTTGTTAAAAAGTTAAAACTCAAGAATAGATCAGTACCCATTGTTCGTGATCCAGCTGCACCTCCAGAAGTAAGTCAGACGCTTTACTTTTTTTTAATGATTATTTGCAAATCGCCTTTGCTCTTCCACAGAAGAAAGGATGTTCCTCACTGCAGAACACAAGATCCAGGGTGCGAGGTTGGATCCAGATCCAACTCCTCCCACCTTACATATACCTAAACCTACCCATCTCCACCCCCTAGATGTTGATCCAACCCCGCCCCCTGGATCTTTGTTCTGTAACCCCCTTTGTAATCATTAACATTTTCATAAGTAACTGTAATTTAATTACACATTTTTTCTCAGTAACTGTAACTGATTACAACTACTTTTTTGTAATTAAATTACTTAATTCCGTTAACTAGTTACTCCCCAACACTGCATTTAAATTTAGAGGCCTCTGATAATCAACTGATATAGAAAGGTCAGTTTGGTTGTTAAAGCTCATTGGATTGGGATGGGGTAAAAAAAAAAAAGCCCCCGGCCCATTGAATCCAGTCCAATGCTAATCATGCACGTTAATAAACAACCAAGCGGTTTCTGGAGCAGTGGCCCAAAACGTCCTCCAAACAAACAGAGAATGCAAAGGGCAGGAGAGAACCGAAAGGTCAGCTTTAATATAACATGCTTATTGCTTAGTGGGATTTTCAGGTGGGCTAAAGCAGTAGTACACACACACCACTAATTCCTTACAAGATACTGGCCTAAAAGGAACCCTCATAGTTCAGCAAAAACTCAATCTACAGCATTTGTTACCTAATGTTAATGGCAACAAAAGTGCATTACCACTTGTTGCACATACTATTTTCTTAAAAAAAAAAAATTTTAATAATAATACGGTGTACTATAGTAAGGTTACGGTGAGGTACAATGGAAATGAATGAGGTCAGGCCAGGCGTGTACAGTATGTATGTATATTAATGATGGATTAATTTATAAAATGACGATAATATAAATTGATGGATAAATTAAAATGATCAACACTGAACCTGGACTATTGCTTTAAGGAGTTTAAGAAACCGTGTTTAATTACTCAAACACTGCGTATTGGTATACAGAGGCTTTATTTCCATAAAACAGTGTGAAATATGGTAAAAAAGGCACAGAAGATCTAGACAAACCTTATGCTAGACAAACAGCAGCTTTACCTAAAAGGTTTAATGGCACAGTATTGCGGTAAACAAGTAAAAGACATGAAAAAGAAACAATTTTGTCCTCCCACAGTTTGCCTTTTCCAACATTCTTGTCTTGCACAACAAAACAGGAAGCGGGTGTTTGGCATAGAAAGTGGGAGAGGGTCTTAAGGCAGGTTGCTCGGTAACCCCATCCCAAACGGTGTTTCACACCATGGTGGTAAGCTTGTCTATGAGGTCATCGATGGTGTAGACAATGAGCTTGATGTCATCTTTTTCAGCCATGCGGTGCTGGCCGTGGCGCCGCAGAATGATGTCCACGTCGGGGCTCAGCACACGCTCGGCCACTTGCATGGAGATGTGCCAAGGCACGTCCTCGTCTTTCAGGCCGTGAATGAGACGTACGGGGCAGGTGATGGGGATGGGGCTCTGTAGGATGCAGTGGTTTTCCGCCTCACGCAGGAAGTCCATACTCACAGTGTACATGCCCTCCTCGTTACTTTTCGTGGGGATTGTCCATACACCCTTGTCCTCACACTCTTTTCTCACCTGAATAACAAATGTGAACTCTGACTGATGTTTGAGACACATTAATCAGCAAGACGTGCATAAAACGAAAACGTAAGAGTACTTCAGTTGCATCTCACCTCTATAGGAAGTGTCTTGAATGCTGTAACGAAATGATCTGCTGCTGTGGAAATGCCCACCAAGGCTTTTGTCTTCTCTGGGCGAGCTATAGCAGCTAAAAGCATCAACCAGCCGCCCATACTGGAGCCCACGAGAATCTAGGAGACAACGTACTTCCAGTCAAAGCCAGTGTTCCATGCTATATTTAAAAGTATTAGTGACCTCTAGTGGTCACTCTTTAAAATGAATTAAGAATCAAAAGTAGTTCACCCAGAAATTAAAATTCATTTACTCAGGTTGTTACAAACCTCAATTTCTTTCATTTGCTGAATGTAAAAGATCTTCTGAAGAATGTGGATAACCAAACAGTTTCTGGTCCCCATTGACATCCCCAATAGTATTTTCCATAATATGGGACCAGCTACTGTTTTGTTACCCACATTTTTCAAAATATCTTTTATGTTCAGCAGAAAAAAAGTAACTCATAGAGGTTTGGACTGACATAAGGGTGATTAAATAATGAAAGAAATTAAATTTTTGGGTGAACTATCCCTTTAAGGGAAAACACTGAACATGATTATTCAAAAATGAGAAATAAGTATTTCAGTTTATAGAAGTCCTTTTTATTTAAAAGAAAAAGTCTTCTAAAAAAACAAATGTTTACATTTCACCAGCTGGTCCTAATTATTGACTCAGGTCTATCAGTGTCTGTGCTGTCTAGATGTAATCGTGAAAGCATTGTAAAGTCTCTCTAGCCTTACCTGGGGACCTTCAGCGAGTTCATCTAACATATACAGGACGTCTTTTTTCCATGTTCCAATGGTGCCTTCTGAAAATACACCCTCAGAAGCTCCATGACCAGAGTAATCAAACCTGTAAATCCACATAAAATGACCTGAGTTTTGTGTGAACTTTCACCTAGAGGATTTCAACACACACTGGTGGGACATTATTTGAAGAAAAAAAAAAAAATGGGCTATAAAAAGATTAAACTACGAATAATTCAAATTATTGTCGCAGCATATAAAGTGATTCCAAAAATTTGAACAAGGAAAATGCTTCCAATTAGCTTTTTTCCCAGTTCAACTCAAATTTATGTAAAACCTGATGATCATGTTCATGACCCAAAGAGACTATTGAGCTTCAAAGAAAGAGAATCTGTACGAAAGGTCACATGATCAGTGTCCCAAATTTGCATAATTGATTAGTGGCTTACAAATAATACAGAATCTTCAATCATTTTGACATCATAACATTTCTTTGATAACATTTTTTTTAAATTCCAGTTACTTTTTACATTATTTACACTGAGTCTCAGATATGTGGATCCCACTGCATGTATTTGTGAATGAATAACAGACACAAACCTCAGGTAGGCATGACCTAATGACCTGCAGAACTCCTCCAGGGCCTCTGCCTTCTGTCCGCTCATGTTAGATCCATATCCAGGCAGGAACACCACACCAGGACTCTTTCCCTTCACTCTCCGATAGGCCAGCTTTGGATGATCTGGCCGTGATATGTACTGTATTGTAGATTTCTGTCGAACTCCTGCAAATAAACAACAGTATGTCAACAGGGCTTTAGAGTTTGTTCTGCATTTCTTACCCTAGTATTCAAAAGACTGTGGTATGATTTCTTTTAAACTTATTTTATTAAAAAAATACCAGTAACAACAGATTATTATAATTTTAAAATAAAAGTTTTCTACTTTAATACATATTAAAGTGTAATTTATTCCTGTGATGGCAAAGCTGAATTTTCAGCAGCCATTACTCCTGTCTTCAGTGTCACATGATCCTTCAGAAATCATTCTAATATGCGAATTTGCTGCCCTCTCTTCTTGGTGATTTTAATGCGAATGAATAAAAGGTGGTCTTCGAAAAATAACTCTAAAGTTCTTAACATGTATGTCAACTCGTTTCCTAACAAACATGAGATCAATGACATAAGCATGACTTGAAGGAGCATTTTACTGTTTTAAAGTTTAAAAGAGCAACTTCTATTACTCTTTCCAGTTTTTAGAGATAATGTGTAGTGTTATGCAGTGAATCCCACTCCCCTAAGGCGTCTTCATGCCACACCCCCTTCATTTGCCTAGCTTTTAACAAGCGGAGCGTCCTTGTTTGTCATCTAAATGCAGCTTATTATAAGTATACTTGTACTGACCCTCGAGAATCTTCGACCTGACAGTGATGACAGCGCCATTGCCCGAGCTCTGCGAAAGTCCTCTCCAACAATGCCTCAACGCCGCCGCTGCCATGCTGTCTCACCACCCACCACTGAAATAACGCGAGAGTACACGGGTTGCCATGTTTAAAATCGCATTGAAAGCCCCCATCGCGCGGCTCTGCCGTGTTGCCAAATTCACTGCAAATTACCAGTTCTAAAAAAAATCCCCCTTCACTTTTTTTTTGCATCAACGTTGCATAACCCTGAGCTCTACTACTATTTTAAAGATTATGATAGTTTGAGCAACTACAAAATCTGTTAGATCAGAATTGCCTCTCGGACTGAAAGAATAAGGTCAGTGCATCTCTATCTGATTTCTGACCAAATTTATTGTACAACTACAATATTATGAGCAGATGGAAAAAGAAAGGACAAAATGTCATATAGACAAAGAATTGTGTGGATGGTTGTTTTAGTGTCACACATTGTAGTCACAGTGTTTTCCACATTTATATCTCACATTTTAAACATGTCATAGAAAATGCTTCAGAAAATGTATAAACTTATCAATTAAATTACTGATTACTAAATGTATCAAATGCATGCATGTGACAGCTGTAGAGTAGACATTTTGAAAATCAAACCAGAATCCACATATAAACACTCATGTAATTGTAGTGATGGATGTCGGTGAGGCTTTATCAGGTAAACAGTATTTCATCCTATCAGGACATCCTAGAATGCTCAACAGTGGTTCCTCATTGTCCCATCAAAGTGCCTCTTTCCATCCAGGTACAGCATAGACTCTGAAGATGATGACAAATAATATTTTAAATAGAAAAAATATATATATGTGTACGTATTCTGCTTAATATATATTTTACTGTATTATATAAAAACATAATTACAAATAATTATGAATATATTATTAACGTATTTATAATAATATATGCATTTATAAAAATAAAATATTTTTAACCTCCATAGCTCTGTGGGACAACAGCTGGGACATCCTTTTCAAGATGGAAAGTGAAGTGAAACACATTGGTGGTGTTGTGCTGCCGGGTCAAAGGATCAAGCACTTCTGAATGAACCCTGACCTGGACGTACATTCCTTCTGTGTAACAAACCTGATTAAGATATCACAGTTTTGTTAGTGTGAATAATATTCAAATAAGCTGAAACAGCAAAAGTTACTAACCTGAGAAGACAGCAGGAGCAAAGAACCAATTTCTACTGGCTTACGAAATAAGATATCATCCACAGCCACCACAGTTGGTCTGCAGCCACTGAAAGATACAAATACAACCATGTTAACAATGAACAATATTTTCACAAAAAATATTCAACATGTGAGGGAAAGCAGTTCTTTTTCCTCTTACGCAAATGCACAGGCATTGGCACGACCAAGTTCATAGGCCTTTCTCATCAGAAAACCACCGAATATCCGGTTGAAGATATTTCTTTCCTGTATAAAGACCAAATTATTTTCACATATATGAACAATATTTAAACACATACATACATATCCATACATACATACATATATACATACACACACATATATACATATATATATATATATATATATATATATATACACATACATACATATATAAACACACACACACAGTAAGTATATATATATATATATATATATATATATACACACATACACTAAACAATCCAATGTGGCTGCATTACAACAATTCTGCATAGATGAGTGGACCAAAGTTCCTCCACAGCGCTGTAACAGACTCATTGCAAGTTATCGCAAACGCTTGATTGCAGTTGTTGCTGCTAAGGGTGGCCCAACTAGTTATTAGGTTTAGGGGGCAAACACTTTTTCACACAGGGCCATGTAGTTTTGGATTTTGTTTTCCCTTAATAATAAAAACCTTCATTTAAAAACTGCATGTTGTGTTTACTTGTGTTATCTTTGACTAATATTTAAATTTGTTTGATGATCTGAAACATTAAAGTGTGACAAACATGCAAAAAAATAAGAAATCAGGAAGGGGGCCAACACTTTTTCACACCACTGTATATATATAAAACATTTATTTTTCCCTTACCTCTGGGTGGCAAATCTCTAGCCCTTTGAGTTTGGCGTCTTCCATCCACACCGAATTTGGTGGTAGAATACGACCACGGAAACTCACACGTCTACAGAAAAGGAAAAAATATTTTTAATTAATACCCATACCAAAAATAAAGGCACAGATTTATAGCTGTGTTTTGATGATAAATCTGACCGTGTGTCTAGAGTGTTGAGGAACAGGTTGTGAATGAGAGTCCTCTCCTCAGCTGTAGGAGCCACTTTCAGAAGAGATGCTGTGCTCAGCTCCACACGCCTCGTCTTGTTAACTAATCAATATAAATTTGGCAATAAAAGCTTTTTTTAAATGAAACAAACAAAAAATTAAGGTAATGTACCCTTTGCATAAATCTTCTTGATTTAATAATGATCCAATCTGCAAACTTGAACATTTTTAAATATTTTTAATCTATTGAAGGCTTCTGGGTTAGAGAGGCCATTTTAATTGTTGAAAGACAAAAATAAAAGGCACTCACCTTCACCCTGATGAAAAATGGCCTCTTCCTCCGGACCCTCAGGTTTGAGTGGGTTTACAAAAGCTGCCCTAAGAAAAGAATATATGCATTAACTCACAGACACAGCAAATACATTTTAGACATACTGATCACATCAGAGAGCTGTGATACCTTTTATTTTCAGGATCTCGAGCCACCATGACAAACGTGGCATCTAATACATCTGTGTACGCACCATCTTGGTACTGAGAAAACAGTTCAGTTTAGTTTAATGATACTCTGATAATACTATACAGCATACAGAGAATACATTACTAAAAACTGGAAAACAACACCTGAGACATGTGCATTGTAGCTTCTATTGAGGTTTTGCCAACCCATGTCACGTGACCTGTGCACTTGATGTCACAGTCTGGGTAGATGATGTTTTGTCTCATGTCTGAGACACAATAACAATAGCATATAAATGAATAATTAACAGTAAAGTATAAATACATATATAATATCTTAAAAATTTGAGTGGAAATAAAAAATTAATTAAGTAGCCTTTGAATAATCTTTGTGAATTAGAAGCAATACCGATCTTGTCCACTAGGGTACAATAGACAGTGGAGATCTTTGCAGCTCCTCATTCCATGTGTGAGAGTAACAGATGAGCACTAAAGAGACAAGAATAAGACAGCTTAAAACTCTGTGTTTATGTGATCACTCTCAACAGTTATTACGGCATACATTAACTGTAGTAGGGCTGGGCAAAATAAATATTTATTAAAAAATTAATAAATCTACATTTTTCACAAATTTGACTCTCTCTCTCTCTCTCTATATGTATATATATATATTTTTTAAAAGGTGTTTTTTTGTTTAGACTCCCTTGAACAATACATGATCTTTATGAACAGCTATAGTTACAAAGTACATAGGAATTATTTAGTGCAAAATTAGCACTATTTAAAAAAGGTTGTTAAAGGAACACTCCACTATTTTTGAAAATAGGCTCATTTTCCAACTCCCCTAGAGTTAAACAGTTGAGTTTTACCATTTTTGAATCCATTCAGCCGATCTCCGGGTCTGGCGGTAGCACTTTTAGCTGTAGCTTAGCATAGATCATTGAATCTGATTGTTACACCAAATACACAAAATAATGATCTTTAAAAAAAGCATCATATGACCCCTTTAATTAAACGGTAAAACTCAACTGTTTAACTCTAGGGGAGTTGGAAAATGAGCCTATTTTCAAAAATAGTGGAGTGTTCCTTTAAATTAACACAAAGGCAACATTTAAAACATGTACTTAAAGGTGCCAATATAAAAATTACACGAAAAGTGCAATCTTCAAACAAAATGTTTTGACTGTTGCTACAACAAAGTGAGTTGTGGGGCATAGGACAAGTCTATTAGCTTGCATTTACACTCCAAAACAAAGCACAGATCTATTTTGACATACAGTATCAGATTTTTTTTGTCCTGTCATCAAATTTTATATCGCCAACAAAGATATCATGATAATATCAATAATATTTGATGTACCATCCAGCCTAACTATATTACTTATATTATCTATATTATTAAAATCTATATTACCTCCTAAACAGTCCAAGTCCTCCAAAATCCGACCAAACCTGTGAAGAAAACAGAAAAATCAAAAACAGAATGAAACTGTTTTTTCCCCATTAACAATACAATACAAGCTAACAGCGATTAGTAACCAAGCTGCATGTGCAGAATAATGGTTTAGCACCTGACACTGTTGTGAGAGTTAAGATATTTCTCTCTCAAGGCAGGCTGGGAACCCAGAGGAAGATGCGCCTCTATCATACTGTCCTTCATTCTTTTTGCAGGCAGTTGATCCTGACTCGGAGCAAGATACTGGCTTAGTGATGCACGCTCGGCCAGCACTTGCTGATGATCTCTGTATATTATGGAGAAAATATATCAAAAAATGTACATTTCAGAGACTTCCAATTGATCTGCATAATGTTTAATGGTTGTAATATGTTACATCAGGAACATACTGCCAGTTGGTAGATGCACCGACTATTTCTCTCAGCCTGTTGCGAACTGTGAAGAAAAAAAAAAGACCAAAATTTTAATAGGAGACATCACACATTCAAGTGGTTAGCCTGTCAGTTTTGGTATTAGAAACACAGACAGTTAAAGCTTTACACTAAAGAGTTTGACAATGCAAGGTCAATTTATGGCAACTTCATTACTAAAAAACCTGTTTTGCTGGTCAAAACAGCTCTTAAGAAAATAAAGCTGAAGGGGGAAAAATGCGGATAATGGACACACATGGCAAAACAGGAAGCAAAAGGCAGGAATCAAAACAGGACTGCTTCAGCAGGCTGCTAATTAAAGGCAAGGTATAAGGTCTTGAAAGAGAAAGGCATTTAAAAAATTAAAAACATCAGATGTACTAAAGGCTACATGCATATATTTTTAAATAATGCTTTATATAAATGCTTTATATAACTTTAAATAATAGGAGAGCAGACACATGCAGACAGAAAGAGTCAAAAAAATAACTTTCAAGAGCTCAATATGCATTCAGAATTAATAATAATAATAAAAAAATAATAGGCAGGGAAATTTAATTTTCTTCCAGTTTACCATTGCTTGCAAGTAAAAAAACGACATAATCCTCCAAAAACGGTCATCATTGTTGATGGGAACACAACAAACATTTGTATCTATTAGCAATGGATTCTGCAATGTTTTGTGTATTAGTTGGTTAGATAGTAATTTAAAACATCCCATCCTGTTGGATAACATTTAAATTTAGATAATAAACTATTAAATTTATCAAATTGACACTCAATCCGTTAAGCCAAAATCCTTAACTGAACAATGTCTAACTTTTTATTTCTATTATGTTTTTTTTTTTTTTGACATTGAGAAAATATTTTAAAAAGTGCAAGTGCCTGAGCTCAACCAGCATATTTTTAAAAGTCTGCTATATATTTTTTATGAAACATATTCAAAAGGTACTGCATAACAGGAATGACTAGTCTATTCTAGCAGTTACCTTCAGCCATATCAGGAACCTTCCCTTGTTGGGATATTTGACCCATTGAAAACTTCCTGCAGGTGAAGGACACTGCAGACTTAAGGACCCTATCCAAAATGAGTGAGCTGAAAAGAAAATAGAGTCACGGGAGAGCCTGCTAAAAGTGAACAATGCATTAACAAGTAAATAGGAAACTTTTGGCAGATACAACGCGTCTTACCGAATAAATGCGACTCAGAAGATACCGGTGTACTCACCGTGGACACAACATCTTTTTGTTCTTCTCTCACCACTTTGGAGAACAGCAGGAACTTTCTTCAAATCAACAACAGATCTGAACTTGCAGTTTTATTTCACTTCGCAATCCTCCGCGCACCGTACTAGTGGTTATAAATAACGTTACGCACTTTTAACAAACAACAAACACACGGCCAGTTTCTAGTTACGACCATTGTTTAGAAAGTTTACCAAGTAATCATTAAGCAATAGAGGCGAAACCTAACATGGTGGCATAAAATTACACATGCTCTAGATTGTTATATGGGCGACAAAAATAACATTTACTCCCCGTCTCAACATGACCACAGTCATGACATATGGCCATTTCTCACACTTGCAATTTCGCGAGTTTGCCACTCGATGGCAGTCAGTCACTGTCAGTAAAGTGCTGCTCACTAACAGTTTCCTCAGTAAATAGTACAAAATACTCACATGAGATGAAGACTCCAGTCATAAGTACCCTAATACAATTTTATTTTACATGGAGCGGGTCGCCTGTGTTTAGATCACATGACCGGACAAATACCACTGGACACTTTCGCTCATAGAATAAATAAAAAGAGAATACACCTCTGAAATGTGCGCTATACATAAGGCAAATGTCTATTAATACAGATGTAAATAAGCATATTTAAGGTTCTGTGTTAATAAGAAACAAACAAGAATACAAACATAAAATAATTGTAAAAATAAATGATGCTAAATATAATTTGTGAACAAAAACATTGAAAAGGCATGTATTCGTTGGTCATTTTTGGATCATTCTGGTACAGGTAGTGTGTACATGAAAGGCATCATATTAATCTCCCTGAACTTACTTCCACTCATATACAATTTTTTACATGTTAACCTCCTACAGAGTCCATTTTTAGGACCGTACTACCATCTTTTGCAAATGTCCATGGTTGTTTGTTGCATTTAAAATAATAAAAATGCAAAAACGGATGCTTATATACAAGCCAATTTGTCAGCATTCTAAAACATACACAGATTAAACAGCAAAACCTGATTTTTATCCATACTGTGCTCTCTAGACCAGATGTGTTTGGTAAAGTTTTTGGAGTGTTTTTGTGAGGCAGTGCCCTCATAATTTGATCTCCAGTTTAGGATCTCCTTGTTTTCTTTTGAGGAGATCAAGAAAGGAAGACAGGACTTATTCTCAGAATTTGTGCATATACTAAATATACTTTTCCAGGATACCAGTTGTTCAGGAATCGCTTTGCCTGCATTCAAATCGGTAACAGTACAAAACAGGTTCATTCCACCAGTACAACCAAAATCACTTGGTTTATAAATGACACTGTAGTGCAAACAAAACATGGTCTGTTATAAGTCTTAAAGTGCCCCTATTATGCCATTTCCAATATTGCCTTACATGCAGTGTGTAATGTAGCTGTATGTGAATGTAAACGATCTGCAAAGTTGTAAAGCTGAAAGTGCACGATAAATAAGTTATTGTCTCCCAAAATAAAGAATCAACTCTGAACAGCTGAAATGAGTCGTTAGTAATTCGAATCCCACTTCCGTGACGGCTACACGTCACGGGGTAACACATTTGCATAAT